TGTAAAACAAAATTAGTTAAACATTGTTAGGGTGGATTGAAGGACAACTCTCTAAATATTCTTAAATAAATAAGAAGAGAAAAATAGGCATATTAAGAGTAAAACATTAAAAAACTCAGCTAATCTGCTTCATCAGGACTGTGCTGATTTCACAGTAACCAAAAAAACTACCCATTAGATTCTGACTCAAATATTTGCTAAATCCTAAATTTGGTGCACCGAAAAATACAGAAATCCCTCATGTGAAATCACCAAAATGGTTCAAACTTTGACTGTTCATCACTCACAGTGAGAAGGTAATAGAGAAAATGAGTCTCCAGGGCCTTTAAGATGCATTTACCTGACAGGAACCTCTTATAGAAATGCAAATTGCGATTGTTCTGTCAAGTCGAAGGCAGAAGTAGCAGGAGAATGTTAACGCTCTTCGTTGTTAACGAGGTGGACAAAATACTAGAAACACCTCTCAGTATGATGCAATACGATTTAACAGCACCGCAAACTACAACCTCCACAATGACCACAAAAATGTCCTCTCTGAAACAGCATCAACCAAAGTGAACATTGTTAGATGTTGTATTAGTATTTTGTTATTTAGTTTGGAGGACTTGCAAGTAACCAAAACATTTACTGGATAAATGATTCAGCAGGAACCATAAAAAAAAGGATTGACTGGTTTGTGAATAAATGTGTGAAGAAGATGAAGTATATTAATTGGAGAGGAAGGTGTGAGAGTGAAGTGTCAGGGTGAGGTGCCTTTATAGTTTCCACCACAGCGCCATTAAAGGTACAGTGTATACATTAAGAAGTCAGTTTTTCACATTTCTCTGACTGACACTAGCAGAAGAGAATGTTCATGTAAAAAAAACACAATTGAACCATAGGTCAATGTATGTTACATAATTATATCCAATATAGCATCAAGGCGAGCCCACCTCAAGGTTCCTTCCTCTACACTCGAGTTTAGAGGTCAGATTCAGGTTGAGGAAAAACAAAAAACAAAGCAAACTCTCCACCATTACTTGAGCCTGATCCGAACACTGAGAATGGCAGCGTACTGTGTATTTGTTTGCCTCCTAAAAGTTGCACCTTAACCGTGACAAAACAATGCCTCCCACTCCATAACAGACCCACTAAGACCCTTTGCTGTGGCCTGTAGGCTTGTGTTTTTTGTTTTTTTTTATGTGTGCCAAACATCCACTTGTTGAGAGAGAAAAATGACTCATTTGACCAACCTCATTTTTTTTCTCTCTACCTCTCAGGAAACCAGTGCCTTTGTTCTTTGTATGTGCTGTAATCACAAACATGTCACTCAGGGTGTAATAATGGAATTATTCATTGCAAACTGACCACAGTATATCTCACTTTAAATGTCCTGACTGACTGTTGTTGATGAATAGCCGCTTACACCCTCAATTGACATTTGCAATCGGACTCAGAGTAACAACTCAATATAATTACCTTTCCTTAACTTTCTATTATCTGCTTGCACTCACATTTAAGGTGCTGGTTTATTAAGGAAATGCCATGATACTTAAAATGACTTGTTTTTCAGAAAATACTGTGCATAAAATTGACCGTAGCTTTAAATTTCCTCTGCAAAGGGCAAAGATTCCTGCAAGAGAGGGATTAGTCCCTGTCACTGGGTCAATATTGACAGAAAACAAAGAAAATGAGACATTTCCAGTTCACGCCTCAGTATCATCATATTATTTCTTAGGAATTATTTCGAGGATCACAGTAGTCTGCCCACATCACTGGCGCTGTCTCCAAAATGTGACTCAGGAGCTTATTATGAGTGGACTCCTTTAGAATAATTGATTGTATTTGACATGACATGGCGGAAACTTGGCGGATTGATACTCTGCAGCAGAGCCATGATCAATCCAAATGAGAGACTTGGGGAGCTTTTATTTCTCTGCCAGAGTTTATTAGAAAGAACTCAGATTCTCTGGAGAAACTAGAGCTATTCCTCCAGAAACAGCTTGGACCTATTAGTATCTGTGAATGTAAATTAGCGTGATCCCTCACCTCATCATGCCTCAAAATATTCCCCGTGCACTAGTTTGACAGAACATAATGAAACATTGAGTTAAATGCTTGGGCATGTTCCAGAGCACTTTTGCGGTGGGCGTTCAGGCATGAAGAGTTGTGATTATCTGCGAAGATTAGTTTCTGTCTTAACAAACAAAGATTTGCAGTGATTTGGTATACTGCACGTTCTGAATGATGAATCAACCTTTAGAGACGACTGGACATGCTCCGGATCTGAATTTCATGTGGAGTGGGTGTGAAATGGATTTCCTTCCTAAGTTATAGTACACACCACAATGTGAAATTTTCAAAGGTTGATATTCTCCTTTATTTATTTGTCTGACTTGTATAATGTTTTAGCTACATTAAATGGATCTGTTTGTAAGGGATTTTGTCAGCATTTTAATGAATTATAGAATGGTAATGAGACTGCATTCAGATGTTTTCCAGGAAAATTTAATGGATCTCAACTATTTTCTGTTCAGTGAAGTATCACAGAGTCGCATTCTGCATGAGCTGCTATTAGTCTGTATATTATTTACTTGCATCTGTTATATCTCTCAATGCAACAAAGGTAATTCTCTTGCAGGCACACTGTGCATGCCTCTCGTAGTAGAGATCATTAAATGTTACTCAGCGCTTCAAGCGCGAGGCACCTTTATCTCCACACTTCTGTCTTCTATGTAAATAAAGCTTTGGACATGTGTTGAAATGCGAGAAAGTAAATGTTAAGTGGTATGTCCTCGGTCTGAGGCAGTAAACAGCAGATGGTTCTCAGGGCCTCTTTAGCGCTATGGATTTTAGTTACCTACCCACCTGAATGACCTGTATTAAGCTGTGCAGCTGATGCAGAGAGAAAGAAAAAGTTAACAGTTTGCTCTTGTTTACTCCAGTTCCACTAGATTGCAAGGCCAGAGGAGTCATTTGCCATGCAGAGAAATTAGCTTGTTTATCAGCATTTTGATTTCCGTCCCGCCTCGCCGTCCCACTGACATTTTAGACGTACATGATCCATGACTGATTCCCAATCAAAATGGAGCCTCAGTAACATAACAAAGCGATTGGCTTGTGCAGTTTCCATTGTTTTATAATTAAATGTATGATGATTAGCGTTCAGTGCAATGAGGACAATAGCTTGTTATGTGCACGCTTTCAAAAAGGTAACCTTGAACATTGTACATCTGTCCTGTCAATTGGATATGCTCCAAAGATGCACAGCATATTACCAGTGAGACACTGCAGCTCATGTCCATACAGTAGGATACCGGTTGTTTCAAGGTGATTTTCTGTGGCATATTTGAGCTTTTTTTTATTACCTACGTGGTGATGCTGCACCCTCAGACCACCTACTGTACTTTGGAGTTTAGTTAAATGGCAGACAGAGTTGAAGTCCTTGAAAGGTTACAAAAATCTTTAGCCATTCATTACTGTAAAGGAGGAAGTGTGAAAAGTGATGGAATATAATGAAAACTAATACTCTTTCTAGTCACTATGCTATCTGTAGATATGCTTAATATCCCATTACAGGCCCAGAAGTAACCACAGTTCTATACTGTCAAGAGACAAACATAATCCGGAGGGAAATTACCCATCAGGAAGGCAATACTGTTACTGAGATGCAATTACCAGGCCACTTGTGAGACTTTCAGCCCAGTATCCATGGGTGCATATGTGTGTGTGAGGGTGGTCGATATGTGCATAACAGCTCTTATGTTTTGCAGAGTAAATTGGATTCTTTGCTGGAGAACAGTTAATTTAGAATATGTCCAAGATGCAAATGATTGATGTGACTATATCGTTACAACTGTAGGTTTGGGGTGCAGGGCAGCCTAATGGAAAAGATATTGCAGGGAGAAGGAAATAGCTTTTATCCAAGAATTTATGGAGAATTTTCCTGCACTAACTCTGTGAGTCCCCAGATAGAATAATTTGGATTTTGGTAGGCTGTTTATACATTAATTTCCAAGCAAATATTACTTAGTTTGGGGAGGCCAAAACAGTGTGTACGCTTGGATTCCGCTTCCCTTTACATTATATTGTGGAGCTCCTGTGCTAGTATTTGTTAGTAGTTAAATAAACGACGTGTCTCACAGAGGATTTAATGTACCAATTTAGCACTGAATCACATAGCCTACAAACAAAGAAAACAGCACGGATTGGAATTAACATCAGTGTAAACATTTGATAAGGATTTGCTCGAGGCAAATGCTATGCTTTATTATTGATACAAAAATAGAAACTGTAGAAACAAGACTTGCTCCTGTGCGTATGATATACTTGCCTCTGCAGTGTCATATCCTACAACTCATTTCCACAGACTAAGTTGAACATAATATTTGTGGCAATAGCAAATGGCTTCCCGTTATTCCCGGGGTAAATTTTTCAAGTCGGGGACATTTCTATTGTACTACAAATTATCACCTTGAATCTGATAATTAATCACTGCTGCCTTCAATGAACAGCCCCTAACCTTAAACGTAGCACAGAGAGAAGAAAAGAGCTGCCTGCACCCATTGCATTGGAAGTGCATGTGCATAAGAAATAAAACTGCCTGCACAGAGTGTGAGCCTTGCATGCATAATAAATGTATGACAAAACAATACCCCAGGCACCCCAGTATTAATGATATGCAGCGAACTCATTATTAAAGTTCCAAAACAGCTCCTGGAGTAACACAGATGGAGTCAATTAAGCAATGAGCATACTTGCTTGCCTGCCGTTTGATCTTCTTTCTTTTATCTCTCGCATATTACTCCATGGATGTAATTAGCTGTATGTTTCTCCTCACAACATAATGTCCAGTGATAATAACAGCTATTTTCACTTGTAATTTCAAATAAAGTACTGCTTAATAAATGTACCAAATTTGCTTGCACCGTGTCCTTGGGTATTTCATTTACACTGCAAGAGGTGTTGAGGATAATACTGTGCTAAGCTGCTTCTTTCTCCTCTTCTGTTTGTGTTCCCAGAGACCTGATGCCTTCAACGCTGGAGGGGCAGATCACCATGGAGAAGACACCCAGCTACTTTGTGACTAACCATGCCCCAAAGCGCATCCACTCCATGGCCAGGGACATCAAGCTTATTATTGTGGTGCGTAATCCTGTCACCAGAGCCATTTCAGACTACACACAGACTTTGTCCAAGAAACCTGAGATCCCCACCTTTGAGGTTCTGGCTTTTAAGAACCGGACGCTGGGTCTTATAGACGCCTCATGGAGTGCGTTACGTATAGGAATTTACGCGCTCCATTTGGAGAGCTGGATGCAGTATTTCCCTCTTTCCCAAATGCACTTTGTCAGCGGGGAAAGGCTCATTGTGGACCCCGCTGGTGAGATGGCCAAAGTGCAGGACTTCTTGGGACTAAAACGGATCGTCACAGACAAACACTTTTACTTCAATAAAACTAAAGGATTTCCGTGTCTGAAGAAACCAGAGGACAGCAGCACTCCCAGATGCCTCGGTAAGTCTAAGGGGAGAACTCACCCTAAAATAGACCCGGACGTCATTCGGCGGCTGCACAAGTTCTACAAACCCTTTAACATGATGTTCTACCAAATGACCGGCCAGAACTTTGAATGGGAGCTGGAGGAGGACAGTGAATCTCGTAGCTCTCAGGACTAGTAGACTGCGGCATGGCACGGCACAGCCACACCACCAGCCTTCTCAATAAAACTACTATCGTCTCGCTTCGTCTTCAGAGAGAGTGCTTGAGCACGCCAATCAATCATGGCTGTCTTTGCAGTGTCTGTATCCATTAGCAAGAGTTTACTGACATGCTTTTTTCTCTCCCTTCAATACTAATGTTGTTGATGATGGCAAATCATTATTGTATATACTAAACATAAAATATATTTATATTTGTGAAAATGAGATGATTTATTCATTTTGTTTTTAAAGCATAGAGCTGATATAAAAATCATGTTGACTATGGCAATGCATGCGATGAGTTAAGTGTCCTTACCTCATGAGCCCTAAGGGTAAACTCTGCCTGTTTCTTCTCCCTTTACTTTCCTACAGTTTGTTGCCCTCACACCCACTCACCAGCATTCAGTACAAAAAGATATTCTATTTCAATGGCTAAGGCCATGAAGTGCTCTGTGTTATGTCTTTTCACACTGTCCTGCTGCTTTAGAAGAGAGAAAAGAGAAAAATGATAGACATAATAGTACAATAATTCTTTGACATGTGCTCATCCTTTCAGTTGTTCATATTCTGAGTGGAGACAATCCTTTTTTTTTGTCAGTCTAAGTTTACCAAAGTGTTAATTTACTCAGCGTCAGTATTCTGGTTGTTCTGCACTCATTAATTGCACACATATTCAATAAGAGAGCTGATGTACAGTGGCCATCATTCAATAATTGGATTGTTTCACTGCATCGTTGAACATTAGCATACTGATGACCATGCACTCAGATGTGGTGCAGTATCAGTAGTTTTGGCATAATTTGACAAATTAATCCATGTACTACAAATACCAGGGGTTAGCTGTGGATCAGACAATTCTGCATCTTGACAAAAACAATTTATTGTTGCCAAAACGCACCCAAAGTATCAGTTAACTCTTGAAGTCATCCAATGTTTGCCTCGTGACCCTCCTCTTGTCACAGTAATACATGTCAATGAGGGTGAAGAACAACACCGGAGGATCGAGCAGTAAGTTTGTTAACAAACATCTGCTGCGGTGCGGTCTTCTGTCGTTAGAGATTAATGGTGTGTTAAATAAACTGCTGCTGCTGGAACAATGTCAATGTCAGAGAGAATTTGCTGTCAAGGAAAAGCTACATACATGCCCAGGTAAATTACCAAGCCATTACTGTACGTACTTAACTTGAATGAGATTATGTTTGCCAGGGAAAATGTACTGTAACCAGAGGTTTACTACCAACACTTGTGATCAGCAGGACTAACTAAGCGGATGCTTGTGTTGAACATAACAGGGTTTTGTTGTGAAATACTCATGCAATGAAATAACGACATGACCCATCATCCCTTCTTATATTATTTTTTATTTTGCATAACTCGCTGTGCGTCTGTCTTTTGTCTCTGGACTTTTCATCAATTGAGACAATCAATACAGTCAATGAGTCAATAAATACAGTCTGCTACACATCACTGGTTGCTACAGCTATGATGCATTGCTCTGTTAATCCTCCCTGTTCTCTGGCCATGGATGGCTGGATTGGTTCACTCTCCGCAGACCTCTCTGTCACCCTGGGGAGGCCAGCACCAGCAGCTACTTACACAGAGCAATTGATTCAATCAAAGTAAGCACTATACTGCCCTTTGTAGCGCCAAGCCTGAACACTTACCTCTGAGTCTCACTATCCCAGAGTCACAACTTCCACTTTGAGGCTTTTTTGTGCAGCCATCCCTTGGTGTTTTCTTGACAATCTCTCTGTCTCTCTGCACTTTTACCTCCCCCTTTCCTCTCTTCCTCCCCCTCCACGCTCATCATTCTCTGAGCCGATGTGCTGTGGTGGGAAGCGGTTTCACAAAGGTGCAGCGCTCTGTATAAAGATAACTGCAAGCAAGACGCGCTAATCATACATTTAAGAAAAAAGCCTTTATAATTATTTATTAATTGACGTTTTTTCCCCCCAAGCTTTAGCAACATGTATAATCCACCTTCCAAACCAGACAGTCCCTCCTACTCAGTGTAGAAACGCTAAAAGAAATCCACAGAAGGCACCCTACAGTGTTATTAGGACGGATGAGGACTCCATTTCCCATCTATGAATATGCAATCACTGCTGTCATTTGCATTTCCAGGATCACACGCACATGAGGGAATTCCTCTCCAAAGTGAAAACTTGGATCCAACCTCTCATTAACACAAACACATACGCACCTTTTTCTTTTGTACCTCTTGCTTGTTTTAGGTACAGGCGGAGTACTGTGATACATCCTGCGAGAGTTACGACGCATGAAAGACATGTTAAGCTGTCCTTCATGTGTTCCTCCCGGCGGGGGTCATGCCACGTTATATGGTTTATCGTTGTTTCCAGCATCAAGTGAAGAAGACTGTGATGATAAACGAGCATCGGCTGCTCATCAAACTGTCACTGCTTAAGTGCCGTCTCTTCAGAGTGAAACTAATTCATATTTGTCAGTCATTACTGACAATTTGGCAAAGAGCTGAAAAGGTAATTCATGGCATGGAAAAGCTACCTGGATGTACCTCAAAAATGATTTGCAATTGCAGCTTGTGTGTTTATTTTCAGTTGAAGGGCTATAATCTGTGAATGAGAGGTGCTTTAAAGTGTTGTATTCAGTTTTCTGTTATATGATCTATAATTATATAGTGCTGAGGGGCATAATGAGAGGGTACAGAAAGCTCAAACCAGTGTGACCACTTTGGTCTGTAGAAACATCAGTGTTTGCAAAAAAACATTCAGAAGAAGTGAAGTCTCCATTACTACCAACTAATTGGTTTTTCACTTCATTTGAGTGAATGATTACTATCTACGTAAAGAGGCACAATGATGTCAACTTCTACAACTAACTTTGCACTAATCCACTCTAAATTCATCTCTAAATGCCCTTTTAATGCATGCCCACTGACATCCAAATTCCTAAAAAAAATAACAGATGTAAGTTGTACAGTTTTAGCAAGGGTTTGAAATTTTGTAAAAACAACAACAACAAAACAATGCATATTGTTAGTTCACTATTAACATAGCTTTTTCAAACTGAAAAACAAATATCCATTAAAATGAAATAAGCTGTAAAAGAAATGCAACTGTATGACAACCAAGATGCTCATCTTTTTATCCCAAACAAAATCATTCATTCATCCATACTGCAATTGTATCTGCATGAAAATGTCCCTAAGGTGGTTTAAACAGTCATTGACTTTAGCTGCTACCCATGCACCAAAATCTTATTGATCACCAAATTAAGGATCAAGCACAATCCCCGCCTCGCTCATCTTTTTTTTCTCTGTTTTTCAATATCTTTGTCTTCAGGTGTGTGGAGAGGTGATGGGGTGTCAGACAATAAGGACAATGCATCCAGTGGTTGCCAAGGGCAACCTGTACATTGGTGACTGAACATATTGAGATTCGCAACCCAAACATAAAACGTCTATCTCCTTTGTTTCCTCAGCAAGACTACTCATTTCCACGTTTGCTACATTTTCCATGAATCTTAAATGTATTTAAGTGTTCCCCTGCTTTGTGGACTATAAATTATATTCCATCCATTTAACAGCTGACACTGATGTTGAAACTAGGACTGAAGTTGCTGTAAAAACCATTACAAAGAACACGACTGAAATTATTTTCTAAAAAACAATCACAATCCTATATCCTCAGATCAACAGTTCCAGCCATTTCCACAGACCAGAGTCGGTATGAGTAATCATTTCATGTGCTGCTGCTTCCTGAATCAGGAACTTCCTCTTCAACCACGTCAGGGAAGGAAAAGCATCCTCTCATAAATCTTGACTCAAAACCTCTTCTGTTCTCTGTGCTGTTTCCATCCCCACTATACTCTCTGATTCCTGCCTACACACAGGCCAGCGTGAAGTCTTTACAGGGACTAAAATTTGATTTAATATTGTGTGCTTTTGCAAATAACCAGCCATGACCTGAAGGATCTAAAATACCACTTTGAGCTTTCTGATCATATTACTTACAAATGCAGATGATGTAAGAAATAAAGAGAAAGTGTTAAAAATTGACCAGAACGTCAATTTGATTGCCAGCAATTTAGCAGAAATACAACTCATTATTGCAACTGCAATACAGAACAGTCCAGCACACTTATTGTTTACTAAACTATTTTTATCGTCCTTGTGTTGTTTACTATTAATTCAGTTTTCTGTGTTCTGTTAATTAATGAGATGCTGCGTGTTCAGTGCAGGTATTGTGGGGTGCTTAAAGGTCTGCTTGAGCAAAGATGATTTCAAAAGCAAAATAATGTCAGCATCAATGCTCCCAGTTATCAGCTAATCACCAATTAAAGAGTAATCACTGAAAGATAAACCTGTTGATAATGTAGACCAATAAATTAGGCATACATAATTAATGTATGTTTAATGAAATCAGCAGAAAATCACATTGGCTGCTCACACTGTGCTATGATAATGTGCAGTAATCCAGTTGCAACTGAATAGTATTAACCCAGTAGTTTCCCCCCATCCCTCCTCCTTTATGAATACTCGTAATAATAACAACAACAACAACTGAGTTTAAAAAGTGTATCAGTCTTTCAGACAATTGTCACGCATGACTAGTTAAAGCTGGATGTTCAGTCCCAGTCTTAAGGATCCAACTGGTTTTTGTTCTAATTAGAGACCGCCAGGTGACTGCAGTGAAGTAGCTCTCAGTACCCTATTCTGCCTCAAGGACGAGGATTTAAAAAAACAACATTCATCTGCTGTAACTTTCTCCAACTTCTTCCCCACAAAAAAATACATAAATGATTTAAGACCTTTAAGGACCTGCACAATGATTTACACACAACATAATGACCCATGAGAGACACAAGGATATTTACGTAATATTGCATTTAGGATATTTTCAAATTCAATGTTTTTTTTAAGATTTTAAATAGATTGGATTTGCAATGAACATTTGTTGTGTAGAGAAATGGCCCATCTAATGTGTATTTCTAGTCTC